AGAGAGAGGGAGAGGGAGAGGGAGAGGGAGAATCCCAAGCAGGCTCCAAGCTCAGTGCAGAGCCTGACATGGGGCTCAATCTCATGACTGTGAGATCATGACCCGAGCTGAAATCAAGAGTTGGATGCTCAACTTACTGAGAGACCCAGGTGCCCTGATGTAGCTATTTTAGAACTCTAAAATCTCTTCAAAGGCTTGCAGTTTCGTCCAAAAGACAACTTCCAGTTAATTTGAGTTAATCTTGGCACATAGCTCAGCAATGGCTACCCATCCCCCACTGCTTATTCCTGTGTCAGGTAGCTGTGCACATGATTCTACTTTGTGTTCGGTCTTAATATACAGAGCTGAGAGAGGATATGCTATCAAGTGTTTAATATTATTCACAGTTCCCCTAGAAATGAGAGGCACAGTGCCCCATGAAGGGCCACACGAAACCTGTCATATGTGGGGACAAGGAAGCAGACAGAGACCTGAAACTCTGTCTTTACTGCTAAGATGACTGGGAAGGAACTGGGTGGGGATGTCCCCTATTGGGTGCAAAGTAAAAACATACATTCTACAGTTTGCGGTTGGGAGCTTCGTGATATGACTTTGATGTGCCCATGAGAGCTGGTTTGCAGCAAAGGGGTAAGCAACTTTGGCCACTAGTTTGGCCCTGTAATTAACTGACACCAAATAAACAAATACAAAACCGAAGAACACACAATTTCAAAAGTTCCCGGAGCAGTTGGTACGCAACCTGTGGGAGCCAAGGTATGCAGTAAGGGCTCTGTCCTGCAAATACTGGGGATCTGTGTTCTGATCACTAACTGCTGCTTCTGATCATGGAGGCGGGGACACAGAGTCAGACAGCCATTACCACAAGGCTCCCACTGTTGTCATTACTTCCACCTCCAGCTGAAGCAACTTTCAGGGGATTTAAAGGGCCAACACTTCTTTCCTTGATTTATTTTTCTCTTTTTCTCCTTTTGGGAGCCAGACATTTAAGGACTAGATCATTACACAAAGCAACTGCATATACAGGGGAATTTAGGTCACTGTACATGCCCAGGAAGAGGTGGAGGCTCAGAAAAGAACTGAGATAAGTTTACACCTCAGGCTGACACTCAGCACAGACAGCCCTACAACAATCAAAAAACAAAAATAATAAACAAAACAACAAAAACAGCAAATCCTTGGGAAGGGGGAGAATCTGATTTCCAGAGTTCCCACATTATTAGATTCAAATATCCAGTTTTCAACCAAAAAATTACAAGGCATACAAAGAAAATGGAAAATATGGCCCATTCACAGGAAAACAACAGAAACCACCCCTGAGAAAGATCAGATGGTAGACTTACTGTCTGAAAGATGCTAAAAGAATTAAATGAAGATATGGGGAAAACTAAGAAAATGATGTATGAACAAAATGGAAATATCAACAGAGATAGAAAACATAAAAAGGTATCAAAAGGGAATTCCAGAGCTGGGAATTACAATTACTGAAATGAAAAATTCACTAGAGGAATTCAAAAGCAGATTACAGTGGGCAGAAAATCAGCAAACTTGAAGATAATTGGAATTACTGAGTTTGCTGAAAAGACAGAATGAACAGAACCTAAGGCCATTGTATCAAGTGAACCAAAATACACATTGTGGGAGTCTCAGAAAGAGAAGAGAAAGGGACAGAGCAATTCTTTAAAGAAATAATGGCTGAAAACTTGCCAAATTAGGTGAAAGATAGAACTATAAACACGTAAGAGGTATAATGAACTTTAGTATGATAAACTGAAAACACCCACACCAACACACATTATAATCACTATTAAAAACCAAAGACAGAACCTTGAAAGCACCAAGAGAGGTGACTTGTCACATATTGTCACATAAAAGGGCTCACCAATAAGATCATCAGTAGATTTTTCATCAAATTTTGGAGGCTAGATAGCAGTAGACTGATACACTCAAAATGCTGAACAGAAAAAAAAAAAATCAACCAGCAACCCTGTATCTGATGAAAATGTCCTTCAAAAGTGAGGAAGAAATTAAGACATTCACAGATAAAGAAAAGCTGGAAGTTTGTTACCACTAGACCTGCCTTGCAAAAATTGGTAAAGTGAGTCCAGCAGGTCGGAATAAAAGCACACTAGGCATGCCTGGGTGATTCAGTTAAGCATCTGACCCTTGATTTTGGCTCAGGTCATGATCTCACAGTTCATAAGTTTGAGCCAAGTACTAGGCTCTGCACTGTCAGTGTGGAGCCTGTTTGGGATTCTCTCTCTCTCCCTCTCTCTCTGCCTCTCCCCCACTTGCACTCTCCCTTTCTCAAAATAATAGACTTAAAAAAAAAATGAAAGGACACTAGACAGTGTAGAGTCATATGTAGAAAAAAAAGATCTCAGGATCTCAGGAAAGGTAAATGTGGGCAATTATAAATGCTAGTATTACTGTAACTTCAATTTATAACTCTACTTTTTGTTCTCCAGATTTAAGAGACTGATTGATACCCAAATGTCTATCAACAGACGAATGGATATACAAAGGAATATCATTCAGACTCCAGAAGGAAGAAAATTCTGATACATGGCTACACCATGGATGAACGTTGAGGATATTATGCTAAGTGAAAACAGTCAGTAACAAAAAGACAAATACTCTATGATTCCACTGATATGAGGTACCCAGGGTCATCACATTCACAAAGACAGAAAGTAGAATGGCAGTTGCCAGGGGCTAAGGGGTGGGAAGAATAGGAAGTTGTTTAATGTGTATATAGTTTTAGTTTTACAAGATGAAAAGTGTTCCGGAGATGGACGGTGGCAATGGTTGTGCAACAGTGTGAACGTATTAACACTACTGAACTGTACACTTAAAAATGGTTAAGATGGTAAATTTGATGTTACGTGTATATTACCACAATAAAAATATTGGGGGAAAATGTCATTAGAGTGGATATCAACTGACTGTTAAGCAAGGTAATTAGATTGTTGCCATGGCTCTGTTCTCTGGTTTCCCTGAAGAAGTCATATTTAAGCTAGGATCTAAAGAATAAGTTCTCCCTTCGGCAAAGAAAGGAGAAAGAGCATTCAAGGTAGAAGAAACAGCATCTGCATCAAGTGGTTGGTAAGAGAACTGATGCATTACACAGTTTGAAGTAAATTAGGCGTAATTTCAAAAGAATGGCCTACTAATTCAGCAATAAAACAATGTCTGCAATGTACTGTTAATTTGAATTTTGTTGTTTTATAGTTTTGTTTATACTGAATTTGAGAATGTGTTAAATTCTGTCGTTGTGGAAGAATCAAAAGCAGGATGAATTATTTACCTCTGAGGTTTTAATTTAGAATAAAAATAACTTAAATCAACATTGAGGTGTCTGCAAAAGTCCCACTGAGGAATGGTATGAAGGCTTTAAATTAGTAATTTTAGTTTACTGCGAAAAGCACAAAGAATAAGTTTTTAGGAAAGCATACCAGGAGCTCTCAGGCTGGAGAATTTCCAGGTGGAAATTCCAAAGATTGGTGTGTGTGTGCATGCCTAACTGAGAAAGACTAAGAAAACAGCAAACTGATCTGCAACCTACTAAAAGGTCTCATTTTGGTTTGGTATTTCAGGATTAAGAGTTCCTTTCATTCAGGAAAAGAATTGGGCAACTATTAAAATCCAACGTCTCCTGGCAGAGTTGAAGTGTACAACCAGTTTCTGATCAAAGCTGTACCATGATACTGACTAGAAGAGGTAAATGAAAAAGAAGAGTATGTACGTGTTAATGTATGTATGTACAGATATTGTGTGTGTGTACATCCATATAGGCACATGTACATATGTATATGCTTGTCACACACAGACAGGAATATTTGAATTTTTATTTATTAGTACTAAGCACTTTCCACAGCTGCATATGTGGAGAGGGCTTTCAAACTGCAGCTTGAAATCTGTTAGCTAATCATTTGGAAATAAAACATGAGGGGCGCCTGGGTGGCTCAGTCGGTCAAGCAGCCGACTTTGGCTCAGGTCATGATCTCGCGGTCCGTGAGTTCGAGCCCCGCATCGGGCTCTGTGCTGACAGCTCAGAGCCTGGAGCCTGTTTCAGATTCTGTGTCTCCCTCTCTCTCTGACCCTACCCCGTTCATGCTCTGTCTCAAAAATAAATAAACGTTAAAAAAAAAAAAAAAATTAAAAAAAAAAAAAAGAAATAAAACATGAAAACCATAAAAAGAAAACAGCGACATTATGTGCAAAGTAACAAACTCCAAAAAGGAGTTTAAGAGAACTGTCTACTTTCATGGCGGTAAAAGGCAATTACACTTCAATCCATACCTTAGCATGAATTTTGTCTCAAAATAAAATTTTATCTTAAAGCTGATCAAATCCGTTCATTTGGTAATCATTTATTGAGGAACTGCCTTGTATGAAGCACTGTTCTTGGTGATGGAAATCAAAATCCCAGTCCTCTTGGAGATTACATTCTAGTGAGGCACAGACTGTATGCAATAGAAATATAAAGTATGAGTTGGATGATGATAAGATCAATGGAGGAACATGTGGAGAATGAAGGGGCTGCCAACTTTAGCAATCATAGACTGTTTTCTACATTATTAAAGTGAGTTCAAGATTGTATCACTTGTTAAATGGGAAAAATTGAAATTTGCTTATGTAACAAACATTGCTACAGACTAAAAGAACTTCAGTCTCAATACACTAATTTTTTTACTCAAGTCACTACTTCATCCTATCTTTAGTGTTGTTTACAAATTTTCTAAGTGGGTTTATGAAATTGATGTAAAGAGATGTTCATGTCCAAAAGCGTTGGGGAGTGCTGTGTCATCTTATTATTGAACGGATGCTGAGCCGCACATGACTCAAACGTGAGAACCGTGGTTCTCACAGATTTTGCAACCACCTGCCCCAGAAAGGGAACATTCGGCCATGTCTGGAGACGTTTCTGGTTGTCAGAACTGGGAAGGATGCTACGGGCATCTAGTGGGTAGAGTCCAGGAACGCTGGCAAATACCATTTACGAGACGGTCCTCCGCAACAAGCAACTGTCTGGCCCCAAAAGCCTCCAGTGCCACGGCTGAGAAACACACAAATGATTGTGATAATGTGGTGAGCCTTCTATTAGAAAAGCACTATTTAGTGCCATAGGATCAGAACAGAGAGCACGTACCGGCAGAAAACAGAAGTGAAACAGCAGGTGGCATTTTAACCTGGCCTTGAGGGAGAAGAAAAGATGAAGAGTGAGGATTACAGAGGGAACAGCGAGCAAAGGGCCGGACACATTAACGTGCAGCATCAGTAGGGATTAGCAGGCTCCTAGTGTACTGTGGTTGCTTTCTATTGCTTTAAACAGTACTTAACTCAATATAACTAGTGTAATCCTAAAGAGCAATATGCAAATCCAATTACATTTCAAATGTATACAATTCTACAATTGCTATATATCAGTTTTACTTAAAGCAAGCCACTCCCTCCCCCACTGTATAAATTCACACAGTATCGTATTGCCTTCTGCAAGTTATTTTAGTCAAGTAGGTGTGATCTAGTGGGGTGAGCATTAACTTAGAATTCATCCCAGGCACTTAACTGGGGGGTGCGGTGGGAGAGAGGGGAAACCTGAGGTAGTCTGTGAGGCTCCCTCTGCGAACAGGTAAGAATAATCTAGATGTTCCCTACATATATTTTGCATATTGCCCTATGATTCTACGCTGAATCCGATTTACTGTCAGAAAAGGGCCATAATCTTTCATTTTCTTTTTATCTTTGCATATGTAGTTTTCCCTGCCTAAAATGCTTCCTTTCCTCTCGTTTTCTAAAATTCTATTTATCCTGTTATTTAAAAAATTAACTTCAAAAAACGTTAAATTTACCCAGGGCGAAACACATACAGTCCCTAAGTGTACAGTGCGATGAACTGCGACGTATACCTCCACGTGACCTCAACCCCGATCAAGACACCCTTCCGGTCTTACACATCATCCCCTCCCCACCCCGGAAGTGTCCCCGGCCCCAGGCAGGTCCTTTACTTCGATCATACTCTACCACTAAGACGCTACTGCCCTCGTGCACTGCCAAGTGTCGCGTGTCCCCGCCAGCCCCTCGGGGGCTGAGGTCTCGCCTCTCCACTCTACACCCCGCGCCCGGCAGAGAGGCCCTGCCTCCTAAGGCCCCGGCAGACAGGTGTGGGGGCTCGAACGTCCTGGTCAAAGAAGCACAGGGTAGTGGGCCCGATCCCACTTCTGACCGGAGCGGAGTTCTCTTACTGCCCTGGCCTGGGGGTTAAGTTTTCTCCTCCGCACCCGGGCCGCCTAAGCCTTGGGCCGCTCCTCACGGGCCCCAGCCCACGAGGCCAGGTCACGCGGCGCAGGGACCGCGCTCCCTCTCGGCTCATCTGCAGCTCGCCCTCCGTCCCCAGATACCATTAACTGAATCCCTCCGCCCTCACTGCACTGGCGAAAGGGTGACGAACGGAAAAAAGAAACCACAACCGACTCCGAAGCCGCAGACCAGCGCGGAAGCGACCCCACCTTCGCGCCCAGGTTCGTCCACTCAGTAGCCACGCGTGCGCAGTCACCCTCAGGTGCGACAGGGGTCGAGGCCGGCCCGCGCGGGCCCGCGCCGCGTCCGCGCATGCGCACACCCTCCGGCCCGAGGGCGCTTCCGGAAGACCCCGGAACGCAGTTTCCTCCAGGCGTTCCAGTCCTGCCGTTAACAGAGTGTAAGGGTGTGCTGTTGATAGGAGTTGTCCCCTGTTGTCTCTATCTTATAAATGACCTCCAAGAATAGTGGCAATAAAAAAAAAAATAATAATAAGGTTTTAATTAGATTCCCTTCCAATTAAACGTATTCCAAGTAGCTATTTGCACTTGAAACTGGTATGTTTCGCAAACATTAAATTTAGGCCTTTGTCTATTTAGTTTACTCGGTCTTGGAGGAATTAAGACATTAAATTGAGGCTTTATATGCAGGAAGACTCTCAAACCCTGCACTTTGCTCCTATGATTTGCCTATCCAAACTTAATGTGGTTAATGTAAGTCTAGTTATATGCATTTTTCATTTGGGGGTTAGCTGCAAAAAATGGAAGAGATGTAAATGAGTGCACGATCTGATCGGTAAACAGATGATGCAAGGTAGAGGTCTTCATGATGAAATAAGACCAGCTACTAATTTGGCAAACAACGCAATTATGAGGCAACAACATTCTCCACGAAAACGATGGATACTATTTGGTCAGCTGACTTGCCATTACTCTTTCACTCAACGTATGTTAAGACCTCTAGCACAGTACCTACCACATAACAAGAACTTAATGTAGGAAATGTTCCCCTTCACCTTCGCTGTTACCAAGTCGTCAGATTTATTTTCATTCCCCAAGGCAATCTATATTATGTTCCTACCTTCCTTGCCTTCATTTTATTAATTTTATTATCTTGCTAAGTTTTATATATTCTCCCAAATACCTTTAAATCCTTTCTGGGACAAGGTGAGGATATAAATGAACTGCTGAGCTGCCAAACGATGCCATTTGGTAGTTCGTGAAAGAGGTTTACAACTTTGTGAGTACCATGCTTTCTATTTTAAATATAGTTTCCGGGTCTGTAACAACCCATGTTTTGTTTTGTTTTTGTTACTTTGAAAGTTTTGAACTGATGACAAATCTACTAAATACTTCAAAATCAGATGTAACTTAGCAAAAGAGCTGGAAAGAAAAATGTAAAACTAAAGGAAATCAATAATAACATGAACCAAGAAATAATTAATAACCAACTTTTATGGCAGTATATTTTTACAGAGGTAGTGTTCCATATATACAAGACTGCCTTGGCTTCTAAATTAACAGAAAAGTTTATGCTAAAGAAAATTAGTTTTGGCTTGAAACATCTTTTTAAGCGTTCAAAGTTTCAATTGCTTTCATATCATGTGAGACACAATAGTTACCTTCATGTAATGTATGACATGTTATTTTTAGAATTAAAATGACCTAGATGTCAGAAAGTTCATATAATTATACTTCCACCAAGAGTGCTGACTGGCCAGACAGCATGTCTCACTAATACATGAAGATTAGAATTTTCCTGGTGAAACATTTTCATTGTAATTTAATGGTTATTAAAATCATAGAAAAATGTAAAACATCAAAAGCAATTTGACTGGTATTGAAGTAAAGTGAAGATTGTCAAGTTAGACTTGAAAGATGCTTTCAAATCAATTTCAATTCAGGAATTACTCCTTTGTTTATTCAAAAATTATTTTTGTTCATCTCACTACTCTTCAGAAATGGTGCATAAAAGGAACAAAGATTACCCTGAAAAGGTTTCTTAAAAGATGAACTTACACTCAAGTTTTTCCTTTTCTAAAAAATAACTAGAAATTACCTATAATTACAAGAACAGATTCTGGTGTTTTTCTTCCATTCTCCAAGTACTGTATTACCAAATTACTCAAATTAGCCTAAGCATGTTGCAAAGGATGTTCCCTAGAATTCTAGTCCCGTAAGATGCTTTGAGAAGAAACCATTAAATAAGCTGATGAAAATCTCATTAAGATCTTCTAGAGCTCCTGGGGCCCCCCCGGGGGGGGGGGGGGGGGGTCAGTTGGTTGGGTGACTGACTCTTGACTTCGGCTCAGGCTGTAATCTCAGTTTAGTGAGTTCAAACCCCAAGTCTTGCTCTGCACTGACAGTACGGAGCCTGCTTGGTTGGGATTCTCATCCTTTCTCTGCCCCTGCCTTGTTGGTGCTCTCTCCAAAATAAATAAATTTTTAAAAGATCTTCTAGTGTTTTCTGACGTGCATTAGTGTAGTAAAGCTTTAACTTCACACAGGAAACAAAACAAAACAAAACAAAACAAAACCTTGTTTCATTTCTCCAATTTATTTAGTAACAGCTAAGTTATAAAGAATTAGTGATTGGGGCACCTGGGTGGCTCAGTCAGTTAAGCATCCAACTCTTGATTTTGGCTAAGGTCACGATCTGTTTTGTGAGTTCGAGTCCCACACTGGGCTCTGCACTGACAGCAGGGAGCCTGCTTGGGATTCTTCTCCTCTCTCTGCCCCTCCCCCTGCTTGCACTCTCTCAAAATAAATAAACTTAAAAAAAAAATTAGTGATTCATGAAACCTACTTTGGGAATCACTGTTGCGATTTTGTTGTTGTAGAATTACGGGGTGAATATTCAACAGAAACTGAAACCACCAACTTAAATAGATCAATTTTCTCGGATAGAAAAGAAGAAAAACTAATATGGTGAACTCTATTCCAATACTAACATGGTGGTTGTGGCTAGGTCACATTTTATTGATGTTTAGATACTACAGTACTTAAAAGTAATTAATGGCTACCAGGTATTGGACTTTACATTAGAACACATTGATGGATCAAAATGTGTTCTTAGAAACAATCTTTAAATATAATGCAATCTATTGAGCACCTATTATTATATCCAATGACCATGTTTAAAATTTTCCATTTAGGAAGAATGAACATTTATGGTCCTATGATACAGAGGATATATTAGGAATTGGATTTAGGGGCTCTCTACCTCTCCCCTGTACTGTACCAGTTCATATGGCTTTACCAGGTGAGTCCTCAGAAAGGACTATCCAGGGCAGTGCAGTTATAAGAAGGGGTGCAAATGAATATTGCAGCCTAAGATCTCAGGATGTTAGAAGACTAACCCTGGCAGCAAAGTAAGCCAGAATGAACACTATCAAAACTTAAAACCACTAACTACCGTGGAAATAAAAATACTTATTAGCACACCCCTATTTAACTGTCCTTTGCTTCAGTTTTTTTCATTCTTCGACTCCAGGAATCCTCAGAGACTTACCTCAGTTCACTGTCATGCTAGATGTTAAAAATAACTTACCAGGAAGGAGGTTGGTTCATGGGCTAAAACTAAGGCAGTGCACTGCTATTAGTACTGTATGGGACTTCTGAGTAGAAGACTTTCTCATTAGTTTCACCCAACATGCCTTTGCTTCCACTTAGTTTCAAAAAGAGAGTCAAACTGAACTGCCATTTGAAATGACAAAGAATGCACAAGACTCCATCTGGGATGCGACGCTTAAAACACAAACAAAAATGTCAACCTAATCAATGCACCAAAGGCATTATTCACAAGCCACTCAACATAAAATGACTATTTTTAGAGAGAACCATTAAAGATGACTATTTACAAATACTAATTTTTATATTTGGGGCCTTTAAAATCATTTATGGCTCTCTTCAAGAGACAGGTGATCAGCCTGTGCTTGAGGTCCCCCTCGAATGTAAGAGGGGAAACAAATACTCAACATGCACTCTACCTACTGTACCTCTTAAACAACCTGCTTTTTCTTATCTACCCTTGGAGTGGAATTACATTTCAACATAACCTAAGAAATACCATTATAAGTCAATGAATATTCAAAGCAAAATCAAGTTTAAAATAAATATATTTCAAAATGCATTTCCTTTTCTTAAAAAAATTACTTTTCCACTGCACATGTTTACAAGATTTAAGATTGGGTGAAAGGTGAGAGTGTGTAAGTCTAACACAGAGCAGGATGGCAATTCTCCACTTTCCCTGAAAAGGCCGAAAAGAAAGACCCGAACTACTAAAAATATTTACTACAAATATGCCCAAGTCCAGTGATTTAACTAGTCACTCTGAAAATGTTTCTAAAGCCAGGTGAGATAAAAATCAATATGTTCAATATTACAGAATATAAACAAAACCTTTTCTTTCGGAATCCTGAATACTCTCTTAAGGTTTGGGTATTTTCCCAGAAGGTAATGCAAATCTTTATCTATACAGATATGTCTCATCCCATGTTTTTTATTTAAAATTATTTTATGACTGTGTAATGTCCCCAGTGTCAATCATCCTATGACTGTAAATGAACTAGCACCATTTCAATAAGCTTCATAAAATAGCCTAGCTAAATACCCATGAACAAATCACACATGGTCAAAACAAAAATGTAATAAAAATATTTAGTGAAAAGACACATTTTTAACTCCCATTTATGGATTTAAAAAATACAAATAAAATTTTATCAATTTGATATTCAGCTTGTAACTGGCTCAATACATAGCCTTGATTTATTTCCTAAAATCATATTGTAGCATCTTTTGAAAAATTAAATGCAACTTTATACCTTCATTAGTAATGTTAATAGAGGTAAATATTTAAACAGTATACTCTCGTCCCTGGGTCTCTTAAAAAAACTGAAAAGTCTTAGTGTAAGTTTAAAATTTATTATTTATAAATTTAAAAAATTTTACACGTGCTGAATGGTAGCAGTGCTAACATGTTGTGACCATTAAACCACAAACTCACTGCATGGAGCTTCTTTCTTTGTACAGAGAACAAATCACAATCCCAGTACTTGCAATGTGTCAGAAGTTTATGTGGTAAAAGACACCACTCCAGGAAGCCTGGGCTCAGAACACACTTGAGGTCAGATCCCCATCAGGTCCATAGTGCGGACACAGTATTTTTCATTTCAGGCTAGGAAAATGAGCTATCAGTACATACCTGACAACTCCTAGTAGCTAAGGCTGAAAAGGAGAAAACTAAATCTCTCCACCGGTGAGAAGGGCTGGGAATAAGGGAGTAAAACCCCAGTGGATGGGTGGAGGAAGATGGTTTCGGGTGCGGCTCAGGAGTCTCGGGCGTAAACTGCACCTCCCAGTCACCACCAAAGCCGTCTTACAGAGTTTGTCTTTCCAAAGTAGAGCGCGCTACCGGCTAGAAACAGATCCCTTCATCCACCCTCCTCAACACAGAACGGACGGCCATTATGAAGTCTGTAGCTTCACGTGGACCAAACAGATCCTCTGGCGAAGTACGTCCCGGGTTCCCATTAGAACCAGTCAGGAATAGCTCACACTTCTCACATCTAAACCTAAATATTTAAAGTTCAGCCTGAACCAGGGCACTTCAAATCAATTTGAGCTCAGCAATACACCAAACGTGGACATTTGTTAATTTTAGAGAACCAATTTTTAACGAATCCTTAAATGTAGCATTTTACCAAATCAGAGAATATCCATTTACATTTTAAAACAATTTAAAACATTATTATATCCTCAAATCGGCTATGCTGTTTTGTAGAAGAATTTATAGAAAATTAGGTTAAAAACTTACATCCAATCAGTTCCTTATTCTCTGGTTAAAAACAAAAGCAAAAACTCTAAGAAGTACTGAGGTTCCTTGTGCCTTAACAGCTAATATTTTATTCAGGAACCGATATCCTAATTATCCGTCAGACATAGCTAACTTAGTAAGGTTTAATGACAACCGCTTCTAACAGTAAGTGGCAAACAGAAACAAGTGGAACTGTAACAGACAAGAGTCTTTTAGGGGTTCAACTGACACTGAATAGTAGGACACTCGAACTTGAAATCCTTGAAACTGAAAGCTAGTTACCTTCAATACTTGAGAGATTCATACCAATATAAACAGAAATGGGATATATGGTGCTATTAGAGAGACAAAGACTTGACATCTTGGGAAAAGAGAAAGTTCAATCAAAGACAGCAAGGGGAGTGTTACATATTGCCGAGTGGGGGCAAATTATAGAGATGCTTGGTTTTGAAGTGAAAACTGAAAAAGGTAGTAACCATCATATCTGAACAGAGTAATGTAATATAATTAGAAACACGGTTTACAATGAAGGCTAAATTCTTTGAAAAATATTGCAAAGTGTTTTTTTTTTTTTAACGTAAGCTGTCACACTTTAAACCAGACAAAAAACTCAATGCAGTGATGTTAACATGCCCCCCTGTCTTCGAACAGATTAAGAGGCAACAAGGCAGAAAAGACCCAGATAACTGTGTTGAGAAGGACGCTGTCAAACACTGCCAAGCAGTTTGACCCAGGCAGTCACCCGTCCAGATGAACTGTAAAAGCAAACCAATGCTTTTAACAGAGCTACAAGAAGACAGTTACAGGTGCTGTTATATGGATAGAAATTGTGTATGGACCAAGTCCTTAGTGATTGTGCCCTGGGATTCTGTAGAGATTGTGCCTTTGGGAAAACAAATGGGCAAGGAAAATAAAAGAAATAAGTCAAATAAAGAATGAATTGAAACGAGAAGTTAAAGGATGCTATACATGAACAAAAGAAACTTTATAAAACATAAAATTCTAAAAATCATATCCTTGACAGTGTCCCTTTAACATATAAAAAGGGGGGCACAAATAATGTTTTTGTTTTTAGAACTCTTTTTAACAACTTAGTTTTAATAGTAGAAATCAATTTACTAGAATTAAGCCAGTGCTCTTTACATCCACTGGGCCAAGAACATTAAAACAAAACCCAAAAAACTAGCGTCAATAAACATAGCCAAAGACGAAACTGGACAGAGTAAAACAAAAGACCCAAACGCTAAACAAATATTCAATAAGGCAAATGTTAACACAAACACCCTGAAAAGAAGTCTTAGCCGTTGCAATTAAAGTGGCATCCCCGTTACCTAGAAAATGGTGGTTGCTTTTTCCTCCAGTTTGCCACTACTCAACGTTCAGGGGACACTGGAAACATTATTTGGTCCAATCTGAAGTAAATCTCACTTTAACTGAAACTGATCTAATGAAATTGCAGGACTATAATAAAATCTGAGCAAATTTAGCAAATACGTTTCTGTCTAGGAAGAAGTTATTAAATACGGACACCTTTTTATTTACCAAGGTATTTCTTTCCTACTCATCTTTATTTATAATAATAATTTGATCATAGTTTTGTCACGGCAGACCTACCCAGTCAGTTGTGTATTTCAGTGTCCTTTGGCAAAGGGACTATTCTTATCGAACACACAGATACACACTGCTCACAACTCTTAAGAAAGCATGAGGGAGCTGGGAAACGTAAAACACCAAGAAAGAACATTGCCACAAGTTAAGGGAAAAAAAGAAGAAACCTAAAAATAAATGCACTTGTTCAAAGTGTTCTTAAAAATACGTGTATTTCATGAAGAGCGATCTTAGTTTTTTCCTAGCTGTCTTTTAAGATGTTTTTGCTCCACCTCAGTTATTAGTCAACAATAATCGAATTAAGAGTGACGTTCCTCAAAAAGTTACGGCCTTAGGCTTTGCATTCACTCGTGTCTAACATCACATGCACAGGTTGGATGTAATTTAGATGCTCCAGTTTTGTTAACTGTGAGTAGCACGGAGTTATACAAAGTTCTGCACAGCATCACGTGTGAAGATGCATATACTATATGCAATTCAGATATGAAGACTACGTTCGAAGGACAGTTGAGCCTGTAGGTGTCAAGGACACAGCAGGAGAAAGCCCACCCCTTGGAAGCAGTTTCAGAGCCAGCCTGTGCCAGATTCCTGTCACTGTGCTGTGGGATTTTGACATTGCAGTGGGCAGAGCTTCATACGCCGGCAGTTTATAAATTAGCTTTCATTTCCATAATTTAAGCTGGCACACAGAACTAAGGGGAGCATGGCAGCAGTACAAAAGTCCTGATTAGAAAAATCAAACTAGAGGATCTAAATAGGAAGTTTTTAATCTCTTAAATTAAATGTACATGGCTCCTGTGAAATGAGGAGAATGTCCACTCTAGCGTAATTATTGCCCCTAATGCCCCAACGTAGAATAGTCTGTATGAATCAGTAATTCACATCCTTTAAAATAGTTATTGCTTAAGCAAGCCATTCAGAAATAGATTATTAGCCATGGGCTATGTGGCTGAAGAGAAACATACCCAAAAAGTTAGACTACATACGAATGAGACTTTCATTTCACTCATAAACCCAACATAAATACACGATCCAAAGGGCACCAGATTCATAGCAGCTAACACCCTAAACCAACTCTGAAGCATCAAGACTTGATTTCTTACTAAAACAAATCTGCTCTTTTTTGTATTTTCTTCTTAAAATTAAGGCAATGAAATGGCTACAGTTCCTAAAGTTCTTTTTATGGAACAAAAATATACACCCACTTTCCCCCTCAAGTTCAGGCATCAGAGTGTGACTGGAGTCTGTATCACACAAAGCCTGCAACACCAGGCTGATGTTACAAACAACAAAGAGCCAGAGTGTGTGACACAAGAAGCCAGCAAACACCTGATGTTTCTTCTTCCCGCTGAATTACAAACCGAATCATCAAAGGGAGGAAAAGTTTGAAAGCACAAAACCTCGGAAGAGTTTCCACTGTCTTTTGCATTGATTCAAAACTTGTGGGGTGGCAGAGGGGAGGAGTGTGTTAAAATGAAGAGTCCAAGGCCCAACAAACAGAAATTCTGACTCTGAGGGTCTACAGTTGGGCCCAAGAATCTACCTTTTCACCCAGCTCCTCCAATGATGCAGGTGGTCTATGGACAACATTTTGAGAAACAATGCCGAGCATATGTCCATCTAATATATTTAATTTAACAGAAAGTCTACACTTTGGCTAGCCACCTAATGTTTTGATAAGGGGGAAAGGCACTGAATGTGCATTTCATGGTGCCCATATCTGTTTGCACATATACGGAATTGAAAATCTTAGATCACCATTCAAAATCTACAAGACACATATGACAGACTGTGGCTAACACCCAACAGTGGAAGCTGATTCAAAGGTGACCTCTCCTGTTTCACTGCATTACATATCAAACTTTCAGGCTCTCCGAGATCCAAAACGGCCAAAGAACTGAAGAACAGGACAAGACTCAAGTCAGCTTTTAGCAATTCAGTGCACTTTGCAGAAAGGATCTAAATTAAGCATAAAGTTTTGTTGTTTATTTTACACAAAGGAGGCCACCAACATTTGCCATAAACTCTTCTAAACTCTTTAGGAAGGCCATCTTCTGCTTCCGGTCCAGCGTCGGAGGAGTGCTGCTTGCGGTGAGCTTGTTGAAGGCATCTGCTAATCTCTGGTAAATAACCGGGTCTTGCTGACTTGACAGTAATGTTTCAACCAACTCGGAATATTCAGCCTATTGAAGAGATAAAGTGTATACGTAAGAACACTTAGCTTCCTCAAATGTCACACAAGTAGATGATATCAGGTACTACCTTGTGGGATTTCTGAAAGGCAGGGTCTGACAACGGCTCTTCTTTTGCATTAAAGTACAATTGTCATATAATATTCTATTAGTTTTGGGTGTGCGACACAATCATCCCACATCTAAATACACTGTGAAATGATCACAATAGCTCTTTTTTTTTAATTAAAAAAATATTTTTTATGTTTATTCATTTTTGTTAAATTTTTTTTTTTTAACGTTTATTTATTTTTGAGACAGAGACAGAACATGAACGGGGGAAGGGCAGAGAGAGAGGGAGACACAGAATCGGAAGCAGGCTCCAGGCTCTGATCATTCAGCCCAGAGCCCGACGCGGGGCTCAAACTCACGGACCGTGAGATCGTGACCCGAGCTGAAGTCGGACGCTTAGCCGACTGAGCCACCCAGGCGCCCTGTTTATTCATTTTTGAAAGACAGAGAGAGACAGAGCACAAGCAGGGGTGGGGCAGAGAGAGAGGGGGACACAGAATCTGAAGCAGGCTCCAGGCTCCGAGCTGTCAGCACAAAGCCCGACGCAGGGCTCGAACTCACGAACCGCAAGATCATGACCTGAGCCGAAGTTGGATGCTCAACCAACTGAGCCACCCAGGCGCCCCACAATAGCTCTTTTTACTGATTAATATTCACTGAAAGTTCACTCTATTCCAGGTACTGTTCCAGTCTTTTACATTAGTAACTCACTTTTTATAACAATCCTATGAACAGCAGTACAAAAAGTACTGTTATTCTCCTGATTCACAGATGGAAGTACATACATATAGTGAAATTAACATGTCTAAGATCACACTTTCTTTTTTTTAATCTTTATTTATTTACTTTGAGAAAAAAAGCATGTCAGGGAGGGGCAGAGAGACAGAGAGGGAGAGAGAGAATCCCAAACAAGCCCCACACTCAGGGCAGAGCCCGACACGGGGCTTGATCCCATGACTGTGAGATTATGACCTGAGCCAAAATCAAGACTCAGACACATAACCAACTGAGCCACCCAGGCAGCCCAAGATCACACTGCTTTTAAGGAAGAATCCAGGCTGCTTGGCTCCTGAAGCCATGTGATTACCAAGTTTGTTGTGTTGTCTCCTCTCTATTTTTCAACCACATTATTCATATTTATTTTGCATTTTATGCATAGTCTAAGTCTGCAACCTGACTCTCAAGCATTTCCCAGGGCTTTCTATAGGCACCCTGTCCACACAGCTCTGAGGACAGCAGACCCGTACAAGGCAGACAGGAGCTGTCTGGGAGGGGGTGGCACAAGGGGAGGGGTATATTTCAGTCCTTTCTCAAGGTGAAGGTGCAGACGTACCTCCAAACCAGTACTGGACTCAGTGGCTCTGGGAGAAAGGTCAGGAAAAGGGACCTAATAAATATAGGAGCACGGGGGGGGAAGGGATGGGGGAGAGATATGTAGTGCTTCTACTTTTAATGCCCCTTATAATAAAGCCTTATACAGAAGAGAGAGTGTGGGGTTAAGGAACATTCAACCAAAACAGCTTTCTAAGATAAGCTCTCTTGAGAAACAAATGAACAAACAACAAAAACTGGTCTGACGCTATTTTTCATTAGCTTCTTGGGATATCGTAACGGACCAAAGGGTGAAATGAAATATTAATTGCATTTGGAAAAGAAGAGTAAGGCACTGGACGCAATCCCTGACCCACAACACAAGCAGGGAACCAGGGTGGCCACCCTAAATGCCCTATCCAAGAGACATACCTACTCACAGAAGAGTAAGTATAAACTCCAAATCATTTCCCTATTCAAAAGACATGGTGGTCCCTCTGGGACCAGACCAGCAGATCTCATGCTAGCCAAACCTAATGCCTTGCTCCCTTTTTTACAATGTGTGAATATGTTGTTGTTGTTGTTGTTTAAAGGCATCTGGAATGCAATGGCTTATACATATGGGGACAAGACATCTATCTTCCTAGCAAGCAACAAGGAAGTAAAATGACACAGAAAGCCCACAGACCTGAGATGAGCACCATGTGCAGAGAGGACAGCAAGAACTCAAGCCCCAGAGTACCTTCAGCTCGGAGCGTAGATGGTATAGGAAGGGAATCTTTAAGTTGTATGAAAAGGCCTCAAAATCCTATCTTTCTTTAAACAGGTAAATAAAACCAAGCTCTGAGTGCCACTCACAGCAAATGCAATGGACTCTATATACTTTAAGGGGGAAAAAAAGGCAAAGCGTTTAACAAAAGCCAATTGCTTAGTCATGCTGGGACGTGTGCATGTGCTAAGGGGTGGGGAGACCAAAAATTGGGGAAAGGAGTGTTGGGAAACTGGGGCAGCTGATGATCTAATATGGTTCTTCTCATACACTTGATGGGCACCTACTCTACCAGAACAGGGAAGGGACAGGTGAGCTAGCGTAACTTTCCTCCCATAACGTTAACCCCAAACAGTGAGTGCGTGCTTCCGAGTCTTTAAAGGCTCAACAAAATAAATTGAAACAATACACTCCTTTCCGTAGTATAATATGAAGCAACACACTTTCCCTACCATGACAGGAAATAATACACTGTTGATTTCCGCACTTTCTCAAGGCAGATCCTCTGGGTCCCCAGTCTTCTTCGTCTGGTCTCCCTTACAAAACTGTGAGTTCCTCAAGGACAGAAACTGTGCCTCTACTATTCTTTCATGTTAATTCTTGGTTCCAAGCACACTTGTTTACAAGGACAAGCTTTAGGGCAGTGATCAATGCAAAGGATGATTCAGAACAGGGGAGAAGGGAAAGTAAGTGCTTATTCACTGACAAACAGCTTGTCAGAAGAGCTAATGTGGAAATGAAGAAATACGCCCTCACTGAAAGCAATTGAAGCACTGAGTCACAGATTCTCTAAGAACTGGGAATATCAAAGGCCCACTATCTGCACAAACAATCTCTTTGCTGGAAAAAAAAAAAAAAAAAAGAGAAGAGACCCAACAAAGAGACTTGTGCCCAGTACCTGATGCAAGCACACCAACGTGTAGAAAGCTTCACCGGCTGCAGTGGTCATCTCTGTGTTGTGCTTTTGCAAAACCAGCATATCAAAAACCAGCTGAAAGGACATAATACAAAACCTCTAAATAAAAATACATGATGATCGTACAATCTCCCATCCTGTGTCTAATCCAAAAAAGACAAAGAGGGGTGGCAGTTGCTCTTATTTATTAAATAAATCTGAAAATGGAAGAAAACAGCTTTTTAAAGACCCAAGGATTTATAACAACAGAGGTTATTCCTTGCTGCGACATGTGCCATCATAAATGACCAGACTGTTACATTTGCCACGTCAGGTTCCAAGAACACACAAGTGGAGAATAAGGTGTCCAGGGAACTGATCTCCAGAAAAGCACAATGAACAGAAAGTAATTCTTTCCTGCCCTCTGAATGACGTAAGCGTTGCCTCATTCGAATGAAGATTTGCAGGCACGAACTGTACCAAAGCAGATGGCTTCACGACATGCCAACCGAACATCTTACCTTTAGAAAGTGCCGTGTTGCTAGAAAAAGTGGTGAATCTGTTTCCTGTGCTTTTGCACACTGCTCAGCTAATGGCGTCAAAGCTTCCAGGCAAAGCTGGCAAACTTCCGAACTCATTCTGATCATGAAGGTCAAGGAACAGACTAGGTGTATTTAACTTATAAAAGATTAAAAAATCATGGCTATTATCAAATTCTAGGAATGACCACAGTTAAGTGAGTACCCTAGTGTGCAATATGTCTTTACAGGGTTGCGAGCTACACGACAAAAGGTTTCCAGTGTTTCGGAGAGGGTCTCGGACTGTAGATTTCTAATGTGTTTCTGATCATGAGCACACAACTGATAAAAAGCCTTAGTATTCTCTACTACCGGGCTGCTGAGATCAGAGACTCAACAACAGTCGACGACATTACTAATTGGGGCTCTTAATGAAAGAGTGACTTTCGGACCAGGCACCAAAAGCCTTTGGGATTGATCTGTGAACGGAGGACAAGATGAGGTGAACTAATAAGAGAAACACACAATTAGGGCTGTTAGACGACAGCTTTCTTATGAAATAAAACTAAACACAAAGAAAATTTAAAAATACAAGTTTTTAAAACTTTGGGAGATTTTTTTCCCCCCAAGGGATAAATGATAATGATGTTCATTTAAAGGATATGATGTCATGCCTAGTTCTAGAGAGTACATCAGACTTTTAAAAAGATCTTCAGGAAGCTGTGGTATTTTTTCAGGAAAAATCTCACAGATAAATGTGATTAATTTGTAGTACTGATTGCAAAGGGTTGGAAACTGAAAAAGAAATATTAAATATTTAGATGCTTAATGATATCTAATTTCTATTTTCATTAATGCAATAAAATAAATAACCAATAAACTTGTAAATATAATGATTTCTCTTAAAAGAATCAAGATATATAGAAAACATAAAGATCTAATTAAATATAAAAATATGTTTCAATAAAGGAAATATTTTAGTAACATGAAAATAATGTACAGTAGAAGCAATTATCTTCTGGACAGTTAATAAAAGCTATCGCCAATTCCAGATAGTCTTGTTTACCTTGAAAAAGTAGACAAAGCAGCCAAATTTCAAATAATCAAATGACCTATAATTAAAACCCTTTTGCAAATGTGTTTATTTGATTTCCAGCATGTTAGAAAAATACCAGAAGGTAATACAGATTAGGATTATGCATGAAATAGAGTATTCACTTCTTCACACTTCTAAAAGTTGGTTGGACAGTCCTGGAAAACTGAAGTAAAAAGTAGGCAATCTACAGTTTAGCAATTCTTAAGAAAATACACATCTAAACATGTAATGGTTTATTTGATGAGAACCTCCCCCCCCCCCCCCCCCCCCCCCCCCGCCCCTGCAACCAAACCAAAAACCCTAAAAGAAAGCAATATACAGAGCTTACGAAACTTCCCCCTCCGACTGGTGGCCACATGAACACTCAGCTCACGGGTCACCAATCATCTCCCAAAGACACTGCTCAAGGAGAGACACATGTGGTCCCCGCCCACTCTGTGGGAATCTGACAGCACCTCCTACTCCTCAATGCAACTTCTAACCACTTCTCAACCGCTATTTTCTTCCTTCCCACGACCGACCTCTCTTTCCCTCTCCCACTCTACCTCGTTCGTGTTCCACACACATGAGCACGCACACACCTCCCTCTTCCTTCCCAGCCATGTCTTTGTCCCCACCCTCACCCTCTGTGACAACTCACGAAAGAGACTCCCTTCTTCTGCGGTACCAAAGGAGGAAGAAAGGGCAGCCTCGTCACCACCACACCCTCAATACTGACTGATGACCCCGAGACAGGACGTCGTCAGAATGCACACAAATTTAAAAACCGTTAGTCTTGGTTTCTTACCATCCCATTTCTACATGGGGTTGCTGGAAAATGCCTTCTGCTGCTCAATCCTTAAAATCAGAGAATGATGTTCAAAAGCATGAGTGGAATACACCTAAACATATAACTTAATTTGCTTAATGACAAATGAGGGAATCAAAACTGCTAACATCAGAATTCAGTTTCTAAAAGAACCAGTTTTTTTTCTGTCGCTAATTATCAGTGAAGACAGGACTCTGGGGCAGGATTAAATGAGGGCATGAACCACGTACTGAGCTGCATGCGTGAGTATAAATGACACACAATGGGAACCAGAACCTCTGATTTTCGTGTGTACTTAACAGATAAGCAGGTACTTATACCTCCTTAATTAAATCAGAGGTATATTCTTGTCTACAACATCTTTGAACTCCAAGCAGACAGTTGGGGTTTTCACATTCACTGTCTTCAATTACCTTCAAAAGATCTTGTGACATCAGGGGCAGAATGAGGTTCACTCCATACAGAACAACATCAGCCGCGGACACAGACCTGTTTGCCGCCTGCCCTGGCTCATGTCCTCTGAACACCTCATCTGTTAAGACAAAACGGTAGTCTTAGAATTGCAACATCAATAAACCTACAGAGTTACAGGTATTCCCGTCTTTGTGAGAAAGTAACAAAAGATGAAAACCCCTAAGCCAAAATATATCTATGAGTGGACATCTGATCAATCTGGCCCTGGGTCATCCCTTTGTATTTCATTTGTCAGGGTCTCTGATGCAGTATTCCGTGTTCACATTATTATTCTACAGTGATGGAAACTAACGCTTCATGTTTTAAAAAGTAGAATCGAATCTACTGACAAGGAAGTTATACTGTGAGTTAAATAATTTCCACAGTAATATTTATTTTATCTATTAGGTGTGTGAAATTTTTCTATGCTGAAGAGGAATGGGGGAAAACAGAAATTAAAATGTTACAGAAGATGGTAGTTAACAAATAACTACCAATATTAAAAAGGCTTATTATCCTTAATCCATATCAAATGCATATAAATTAAGAATCCTCCTAAGACCTAAATAGGTAAATGAGGAAAATCCACAAACATCTATCAAACCCAAAGCCTAATGAAAAACAGTTCACTGCAATCATTAATGAAACAATGGAATTAAAAAAAATTTTTTTTAACCTTTATTTATTATTGAGAGACAGAGGGAGACAGAGTATGAGCAGGGGAGGGGCAGACAGAGGAGGAAACACAGAAACTGAAGCAGGCTCCAGGCTCTGAGCGGTCAGCACAGAGCCTGACGCAGGGCTCGAACTCACAAACCATGAGATCATGACCTGAGCCCAAGTCAGACACTTAACCAACTGAGCCACCCAGGCGCCCTGAAGCAATGAAAATTTTTAATGAATACTTAAAAAAATTTTTTTCAATGTTTATTTTTTAGGGACAGAGACAGAGCATGAATGGGGGAAGGCAGAGAGAGAGAGACACAGAACTGGAAACAGGCTCCAGGCTCTGAGCTATTAGCACAGAGCCCAATGCGGGGCTCGAACTCACAAACCGTGAGATCACGACCTGAGCGGAAGTCAGAAGCTTAACTGACTGAGCCACCCAGACGCCCTTTTAATGAATACTTCTGACTCATTACATTAAAAATGACTTTTAAATGATAACATTTAAACTTCTTAACGTTCATTTATTTTGAGAAAGAGGAGAGAGTGTGTGACTGCACATGAGCAGAGAGAGAGAGAGAGAGAGAGAGAGAGAGAGAGAGAGACAGAATCCCAAAAGCCGGCATGCGCTGGGAGTGGAAACCTACGTGGGGTCTGTCTCATAAAGGTGGGAGCCGGACGCTTAACTGACTGAGCAACCGAGGCGACCCCCCCTTTATTTATTTACTTAGTTTTATCTTCCTTTGCTTTACAAAAAAGATAATTAAAATGAAATTCAAAACCCTCACACCTCACCTTACCTGTATCGCTAAAATCTATGAATTCTTTTGACAGAAGGTTAGTGAGAAGTTCCATGATGAGAAGCAGGTCTTGGTACTGTTCTTCCTCTGCTGTAACATCTATTCTTTGCCGCCCCAAGTTATTCTTAGAATATACTTGCAGCAAAGTAAGGCAGGCTTCATACAGGTTCATAGCTTTGGACTGTAAGAGAACGTGCATAAATCATACTTAGTTGGGAAAAAATATCAACCCTAAAAGAAACTTAAAATTATAATCTAATAAATTTGCTCTGGATCCCAACAGTAGCTCAAACACTTGTTTGAAACTCTTATAAAACATTAAGAAAAATGAAACAGCATGCATTAAAGATTGTAGTTATGTTTTAAAAATTAGCAGTTTTCTAACAAAATTTGACATCCATTTTTTTTTGTTCACTTGATAATACATACTAGAGAGATAATAAGATTTTGGCAACAGAACTGTTTTACTTCTGCTATTTACCTCTGTGTATACTATTTATTATTTTCAGATTTAAAACTGTTTAACTTGCAAAAGCACAGTGTACCAAACCATGGTCTTAAATATCAGAATGGCAACGGCCTGCCCTCTCAGTCATGCATCTATGGCTACATTTGTAACATTTATAAAATAACCTTACTTTTGAGCAAGTGCCTTTGATCTAACGCAACAACAACAAAAATTTACAACTCAGGAACCCACATGAAATGATTTAAAACAAGATTTATGCTAATCCACAGACAAATACAAATATATTCCTTTAAGGCAGTTTTAAAACAGCTTTCTAAATGATTTCTAAACAGGGTAAAAAGTGTACCTGTGGTTACTGATTATAAAAGAATTTAGCCTGTCTAAATTATCCATTTGATTTATAAAGCAAAGATACAAACTGTCATTTAAAATTTTGAGCCTCAAGAGTTTCAACAGACAGAAATTGGTTAAATTTTTCTACTATTTGTCTTATCAAACACGCCTCATTTGAATGGCTTTGACTGAATAAAATACTATATCTCAAAGAAATTACTGGTTTTACTAACAGTTTTAGGTCAGAACTGACTTTCCTTCCATAAGCCTTCCCCTGGATTTTGAGTTCTTTTGAAAAGTTCTGAAGTCTTTTTGAAAACTCCTTTGGATAACATTCACAGAATTTAAAGGAAAGTGTCTGTTACTTTGTTATACTTTCAGGAGTTCTAATCCGAAAGAGGAAAAATTAGAAAGTGCTTACCTCTCCAAGATAGCATATCTGTTTATGTGCAACTTCCACAAAAACTTCTATTATGAGATTGACGGTCTCTGGGGTATTTTTGTAAACTTCCATCAATCCAATGCAATTGGTAAGGAAGTCCATCAAAAAATTAAAAAGAATTGCTACGTTGTCAATCTGGGTAGCCTCCGCAATGCCACACAGGGCCTCCAACGTGGCCGTGATCTCCTGCTTGACTTCCTCCTGCTGGCACATCTGCTGAAAGTTTTCTTGATTTATCACTCTTAAGAATCGCTGCTGAAGTGGCTGAAGGACCTGTCAAGTTAAAGCATCATTCTTCTAAAAGTTTAATTCCCACGATCCCTTTCTTTCAGCTTTACTCCCTCAACCTGGAGATGTCCCTTCTAAAACATTTCTGAAAGCACCGAAAACAATGATCGGAACTACATGCTATGTTCCCCATCACGAGGGGACGTGTAACTTCTAACCTACAGAAAGAACGAACACACAGTACACTGGTCCTTAGGGAAACGGAAATCAAAACCACAAGGCGACATCGCCTCAGGTCTTTTAGAATGACCGCCATCAAAAAGACGAGACAGAAAGGCTGGCAAGGATGTGGAGAAAAGGAGACCCCTGTGCACTGTTAGTGGGGGTTGTCAACTGGGGCAGCCGCTAAGGAAAACAGTGAGGAGGACCCTCAAAAAATTAAAAACAGAGTTACCATATGACCCAGTAATTCCACTGCTGGGAATATATCCAAAGGAAACCAAGACAGCACTTAATCAGACGTCTGCACCCCCATGTTCACTGAAGCATTATTTGCAATGGCCGAGACATGAAAAAAACCTGAACGTCCATCCGTGGATGAATGGAAGGAGTTGTGATACATATGCAATCATACAGTTAGCCGTACAAAATGAGGAAATCCTACCACTTGTGACCACACGGAGGAACCTTGAGGGTACACGTTAAGTAAGTCTGACAAAGAAAGACAAATACCATATGATCTTACTTAGATGAGGAATTTTAATACAATAAAATAATAAAATAACAAAACAAACAAAAAATCCCAACTCTCAGAAAAAGATCTGTAGTTGCTACGGTGGGGGTGGGGGGAGGTGGGAAAAGGGGGATTTGAACTTCCAGTTGTAAGATAAATTAAGTACTGGGAGTGTCACGTATAACATGGTGACTATAGGTGAACACTGCTGTATGACAGATAGGAAAATTGTTAAAAGAGTAGATCCTCAGAGTTCTCATCACAAGAAAAGAATTTTCTTTTGTTGTTTCTTTTCATTGTACTTATACGAGATCGTGGATGTTGACTGAGTTCTTGCGGTAATCACTTCATAATATATATAAGTCAAACCACTGTGCTGTACACGTTTTGAACTTGCGTAGTGATGTCAATTACCCCATAAAAGTGGAAAAAGTATTATTTATGGAAAAGCAAATCAGCACATGCTATCACCTCACTTTCTAAAGTAATTTAGGTTCCAAAAACCACAAATCACGGAACATGACTTAGTCAATGCCATTCACAGAATTCTGTCACTATCATCATCTCTTTCCAGTGGATTAACCTCCCCCCTCAAAAAGATGAAATTTAAGTCTCCAAAGGGTCAGAGAGTAAGTATCAACGTTGAAGAATATGTCAACTCTGGCCCAACTATCCAATTACAATTTGGTACAGAAGCAGCCATAGATAAAATATAGACAATTGAACATGACTGTGTTTCCATAAAACTTTACTTAGAGAGACAGCAGGCCGATTTTGGTCCGTGGGCTCTAATTTGCCAAACCCTGCTCTACATTCAGCTCTGGACTGTTTTTCTCCTTTCCAATTTCTGTTGGCATAGAGTATAACTTCAGAAAATCAGTCCTGTCCTGAGTGAACATGCATATTCATGAAGATATCTTAATTCTAAAGCTATACATATGATAAAACAATTGTTTAAACTAGAAATATATGGTCAGCCTGGTTTTCTTCTGGTCTGAAGTCACAGATGACTGCCAAATTCTGTTACTGTGTCCCTTCTCAGACATTAAGAGCACTCTAGTCACAAGGATTATAGGCCAGCCACCTATACTGATACCTCTTGGTTCCTGACTTAAATCTAACTTACATAATGCAATGTGTTCACAGTGGTTATTGGTTGATTATGCATCCCCCCCACCCCCGCAACTGATATGTTGAAGTCCAAATCTCTAGTACCTGAGAATGTGGCCTTATTTGGAAACAGGGTTGTTGCACATATAATTAAATTGAGTTCATTAGGGTGGGCCGCTAATCCAACGACTGGTATCTTTACACCGAAATGCACACATGGAGAATATCATGTGAAGATGAGATTATGGTGATGCTTCTACAGCCTAAGAACACTAAAGCCTACCAGTCAACCACCAGCAATTTGGCAAGAAGCCTGGAACAGATTCTCCTTCATAGCCTTCAAAAGGAACCAACCTACCAACACCTAGACCTTGGATTCTGGTCTACACAACTCCAACAATACATTTCTGTTGTTTGCTCCACTAAGTTTGTGGCACTTTGTTACAGCAGCCTTAGCAAACTAATAATAATAATTTGTACCTCCTCATCAACAGAAGCGGATATTTCACTGATTCTTCAGGCTCTCATTTGAGTTGTGGGCAAAAATGTGCCCATACTACAGAACGTTTGACAAAGTCATCACATATGCAGATATGGGCAAATTATAAGATGGTATTTGTAAAATAATAAGCTTCAACCTATTCCATTATAAAGGGAAAAACATTAGAGAAGGTATGACTGAAATGTTTCTGTCTCCACAGAGTATTTTATGCCACCACATAGGGTAAAACATAAGAAGGTCGATCCAAATAAAGGAAACTATTACCTCTGTCCAATACTGCTGTTTGGTTTCTGTGTCCATATGTGCAAAACCACCCAAGACAAGAGCCTTCATCAGTGTCCTCTGCACGGGACTTGACAGGAAGTTCAGAGGTGGGCTTCGACTTGCAAACTGCTTGGCTAAGTTCCACCAGTTTTCACACTGAATCACTAAGTTTGCTCTAGAAGCACAAGTAACAAAACAAAAGATGTATTACTTTACACTGTGTGTATACCGAGTCAACAAAAATGGAAGGTAACTGAATTTAATTAGTTAAAAAAAAAAATTTTTTTAACATTTATTTACTTTTGAGACAGAGAGAGACAGAGCATGAGTGGGGGAGGGTCAGAGAGAGAGAGGGAGACACAGAATCTGAAACAGACTCCAGGCTCTGAGC